GAAAAGTGCTTCTGACAACCACAGTGTCGTGTTTTGGCGTTGGGGTTTTGAGCTATTCTGTTTGATCCGTTTTAATTATCAGTCTTAGGTTAGGTTAGGTGACATCTGTTAGTAGAATAATAAATTCCGTTTTAATTTTATCAGTGTTAGGTAATTTCAAATTATCGATGTCGCGACATCTATTGGTCAAATATTAAACTATGTATGTATGTGTCACATCTGTTAGTAGAATAATCAATTCCGTTTTAATTTATGAAGTTTGGAAAAACTCTGGCGGTTGTCGTAGAACAAACAGAATAGCTCAAAACCCCAACGACAAAACACGACACTGTATTTGTCCGAACAACTTTTCGGTAACAAAGTTACCTTCTTCAGGGACTGAAGTGAACTAAACACTGTTCCAAGTTCACTAAACCTTAACAACTATCAGTATAAATTAGGATTAGTTCTCATTTAGGTTTAGTTTACTTCAGTTCTTGAAGAAGGTAACTTTGTTACCGAAAAGTGCTTCAGACAACTTACAGTGTCGTGTTTTGGCGTTGGGGTTTTGAGCTATTCTGTTTGATCCGTTTTAATTATCAGTCTTAGGTTAGGTCAGGTTTTTTGTCTTGGGGATATTTTCTCCGACCATATTTTGTCTGGGGATATTCTGTCGTTGATATTTTGGCGGGGATATTTTGTCGGAGGATCAAGAATCATGGAATCACTTATTGGAGGATCCTGTCTTTCGTATTATTTATTTTAAAGTTTTCAAAAGAATTGTACGCGTTTATACGTAATTAATTCGCCTTTATACAGTTTGATTAATGAAAATTATTCGTAAACACAAATAACAAGCTAACTTTATACTCCAATAAATTAATTTCATTTGACTGAATATTGTGAGTTCGATAATTCATCGTCAATATTAATTTGCAAACTACGTCGTCATATTGCAGATTAGTTGAATAGTTTGTTTAAACCAATAAGGAAGAAATAATTTCATGTGAAGAGGCTAATTCCTACACAAATTTCGATGCTCTAATCATTTCACTAATTAAAGCACACAAAATCATTGTCCTAGTATGAAATATCTACTTCAAGAGCTAATATTCTCCATTGTCTCCACCTGCATGTAACAAACACTCAGAATTTTTCTGGTAAACAAAAGTTTTGTTAAATATAGTTGTATTTACTTGAAAAGTTCAGTCCTTGTTAATACGGACTGTTATGCAGACCGTTTCCGCAAGTTTCTTTATTTTCTCAATGGAATTGTTTTGTTAGATGCGGTAATTTTCAAGACTAGAATAATACGATTACGAAACTTAAAATGCATAAAAGTACAATTAATATATTCCTACTGTGAAATCTATCTCTTTACGTGTAAAACATTATATTATTTCAAATTGTGTAATTTTTTAACCGGGCAAACAAGACCAAGGCAGAACGAACAAGACCAAGACTGTTCGAACAAAACCAAGAGTAAAATCAAGATCGAACATGCAGGAACAAGATCAAATACGCAAGACTAATGAAGAACCATTATTTCTGGTGAATTTATTTGTAAAACTATATGAAGCAACTTTAATGATATATTCTTTTCTTGGTTGAAATGTAGAAAGAAACTAATTTTTTTTCGATATTTATACTTAGAAGCGTTCCAAATGTGGTGCTAAAGGCGAAAGGAGAACAGAGGACAGAGAGGAACAGAAAAAGTCAATAATTTTTAGTTTGCTTTAGTGTATTTTAAAGATAAATATAAAAAAAGAAACTTTAACATGCTTTGGAAGAAGTGTACAAATATATCCTTTAAATAAGTCTTCTTTGTTTCTATGTCTGGAAAACACATGGTTGAAATATAGAGACAAACTAATTTTTTTTCGATATTTGTACTTAGAAGCGTTCGAAATGTGATGCTAAGGCGAATGATGAGGATATCGTGGATAGAGAAGGTTACAAATGAAGAGGTATTGGAAAGAATAGGAGAACAGAAGACTCTATGAAAGTCAATAAGAAATAGGCGAGGTAAGTTGGTATTAGATACAGAAGGAGTTCGGAGGAGTAGAGGTAGACCTAGATTAGATTACTGTTCGCAAATAGTTAAGGATGTGGAATGATCTAGCTTTAGAGTATTGCGAAGATTAGCTCAGGATAGGAAAGAGTGGAGGTGCGTGTCCAACCAGTTTTAGGACGATGATGATTTGCACTTCGTTCAAGTACTTTGTACTACTTTTTTTTGCAAAATTTCAATTTGTACATTGGATTTGAGGAAGGGTCAATTTATGAGTTGAGGAACAAGTTTTCGAGTTTTCACAAAAAAAAATTGTGCTTAATAGAATTTTTAAAGATACGTAAGTATCAGATTATAAAAACAAGAATAACACTTAACATGCATAACCAAGACTAAAACCGAGATTACATAAACAAGACCAAAACCAAGACTAGAAATATTTGAGTAAGCCAAGACCAAGACCGAATATGTACTGGAACGAGTAAGACTGAGTCAATCTTGGTCTTGCTTTGTTCATCACTAATCTAGTCTAACATTCAGGTCACTGGGTCTAATAAGTTTTAGCAGGGGCAGCCTTAGCAATCAGGAGACTCCAGGCGGGTAAATTTTTGCGAGGCCTTTTGTCCTTGCGGAATTTGTTTTAATGATAATACTTGAAGAGAAATGCAAAGTTATTTATAAATAAGTTCAGAGTTTTAAAATTGTTTATCGGAAATTTAAAAAAAAATTAATAAACACAAAACTGGTAAATTTGCGGATTTTTTTTAAGACTATTAAGAAATTCAAATAAACATTAGTACTTACTATCTAATATTTTTCTAATAAGATTATTGCGCAAGTGCGCGGGGCCCCGGCGGTTGCCCTACTCGCCACCCCCAAAAGCCGCCCTTGAGTTTTCGTGTAATTTCTTCAGGATCACATAGACAAATACTGGAAAAATGATAATATTCTCCGGATAATTCTTCACTTCCCTACTGTTACCATATCATTCGTCTCATGTTTCTCTTTCAAACTATAACACAATTATTTTCTGAGTTCTTTAATGAAGACTGAAAAGGGTCTTCCGCCCTACCCTTCGGGTTTGCATAAGAATATAAGTAGGAGGGACTGCTCTCCTACCAGTCTTACATAATGAAACACGCAAATGTTTGGGACTAATAATGATTGTTTTAAGTTTAGTAACACTATTTAACTATTAGTAATGAGTGCAATGGTCGAAACAATTATCTCAAGAAGATAAAACACTTGTGAAAACATCCCAGTTTGTTCCACATTAAAAAGGTATGCTTCGTAATACTTCCACCGAAAATATGCAGTTTGGACTGTATTAAAAATTAATGATCCACTAACTACTAAAATAATTCATAGCTGTTACTTCAAGAGATCTCTTTTGAAATCTAGGCATTCCTTAACGATTTTTAGATTTAATCTATAGCAATCATTTAAAAGGATTACAATACCAACTTCAAGGTAATAAAATCGTTTTACATCTTACATTTTAACTAGGAACTGAATCATTTATTAGCGACGTCCTTATCTTTGCATATATACATATATATATATATA